CCTGCCGCCGAGGCTTGGCGAGGGGCACAGGCCTGCCCCTCCGCTCCCGCGGAGCGTTCCCCCAGAGCCGGGAGAGCAGCCGCTCCCCCCGGCTGCTGCCCAGGTCGCAGCAGCGGCAGATGCAGAACGAAGCCTGCCGCCACTGCAGGGCCATGAGACTTGCTGTCACTGGAGCCAGCAAAAGTGAGAAACCATCCTGGGAGCAAATCATGAGGGAGATGGCAGCATCTGTTGTTCCCTCTCTGGAAAAGTACCACTTTTTCCCCAGACTCCTGGGTCTGCTGTACTTTAATTCATGATCACGGTCTTTCAAGAGTTGGATTTATCAGGGCTTTGTCACTCAGTCTAGGTGGAACCTTAATATTTCAAAATGAGAAGACACCGTGGTTGTTGTAAGGGCTCTGTTTATGGTAAGTGTTACCAGGATGAGCACAGCATTCATTCTGTGCTGAATTTTGGAGCATCCGTGTGCCTAAATGAAGACCCTTGCACGTAGGCCTGTGCATTTAGCTTTTTCAAACTACCCAGGGAGGTGCCCATTTCAGTTGCTGAGCCTGTAGGTGAGGGTCTGTAATCACTAGTCCAAATGGCAAAGAGAAGGGGCAACAGCTGCTGCTCCATCTTGGTAATTAACTGTTGGTGAAATCTCAGTAATTATGCTTCATGAGCGCTCTAAGTTGTGCACCCAACAATTGTCAAACGTCGTTTTGCAATAGCTTCACAGATATATCTCCTTTTGAAATTAACTTAATACCACAGCTTAGAATGTCGAGTAGCTGTCATGCATTTCAGACCTGCAGGAGACCATTGGCAAGCAACTGCTGTATAAAGAAAAATTAAAATTACTTTGCTGGTCTTTTTCTTTTTTTTTAATTATTGTTACTAACCCAGCTGAGAGAAACACAGAAAGTGCATACACCGAATCTTTTCCAAATTCTTTGGTATGCTTTTTACATGTTAGCATATTAAGGACGATCCACTTAGATTTTTAAGAGTGATTATCATAAGAAGTACCTGTCTGAAATAATTAAATGAGAATCCTATTTTGTTTATACTTTTGTCGCACAGCAATATCAAGATATTCAAATTAGGAATATACTTACTGTAATTTCTATCTACAACATAATATATTTTCAAATGTATTTTCAGAAAATTTCTTGGGTGTATAAACCATAAGAAAATCCAGGCCACTAACAGAAACTGTGAAGTGACTGCTGATGTGAGACATGATGTTTCGCTTGTAGATGTTATGTTTGGTAAGGAACTCATTTTCAATCTTGACAATAAAAAGACCTTCAGGGTTTGTGGTGTTATGATGTTACTGTCTTCTCTGTGATTTTTTGCGTGCGTTACTTTTCTTGTGCTGGTCCATAGCTGGATGTTGAGCAGCAGGGAGGAAAAAAGTAAGAGAGAGTCACTAACAGCCTGATGTCTAGATAAGTGTGTATATATGTCTCTGTACTACAGTTGGATCTGGTGGCTTGTAGCTCAAAGAACTGACTTTAGGGTTGAGTCTACTTTTGTAGTGACGTGATTGTGTGACCTTGCAGTCAGGTACAATTCCAAAGAGGTGAGTGCAGCTCTGTTTTGATGTAAGAATCTGTTCACTTTCTGTAATTTTTTAATGTTACCTGTGGTGAATGCATGCCATTGAGAAATGAAGAACTGAATGCCTTCAGTTGCTGATGCAACTACCTTACTATGCAGTTTGAAGGGACTGCTTGTATGGGTAAGACCATACATGTGCAGATGGACTTGCAGAATGAGGTCAACTGATGTACAACAAATTTTTTGGTTTCCTTTGAAGGCGTAGTCAGTAGGCAGGGAATTGATGGCTGGAAATCTCATCAGTTCTGGAAGTGGCCCAGATTCTAGGCTATGAACAGATGGCTCTAATCTGCTTTTGTCCTTTTTTCTGGCTGCATCTTCTTTCCTGCTGTGCTGTAATGGACCAATATGTCACGTAGGCCTTTAAAGTTTTTGTTATTATTGATTCTTGCTCTCCCCTTTTCTTTCCACTTCGATATATTTGGTGAATCGGTGGTAATGTCAAGAGTGTTTGATGTACTTCATTTTGCTTAGGAAGGTGTAGTTGTTTTGGTGTTGACATTGCTTGTTTCTCCCTCCCGTAATGCCTCTGTTTTTCCCATCCTTGTCTCTAACTGTGATGTATTAAGACTTAAGCAGTAAAGCTTAATGTTTTTCACAGTGTAAAACCCAAACAATTTGTTTCACTAATGCCAAGAGCTACAGCTCTGAACTCTTCATTTTCTAAGGGCTGATTATTTTCCAAGTGAAGAGTTTGCAGCCCTTGTGGTTGGCAAGCACGGGGCTGGAACGTGGATGCCATGCACGGTATTACATTACATGGGTTTGAGTATGGCTTTTATTTTTGCAAGGTTTGAAAATACAAATAATTAGCTTAGGTACAGTATTTAACTTTTACTGCCCCTAGTCCCTCTTTTAAAATAATTTCTTTCGCAATTTCAGAAATAATAGTGCCTTTTTTTTTTTAACACACTATAACCACTAGAGCGTGTAGACCAGTTTGTTGTTTTGGCTAAGAAGTGAGTTAAACAGACCATAGACAACATGCTGCTAAAATGCTGAGCCATGTGTGGAAATGATGCCTTCCAGTGCCTTCTGTTTATATGACTTTGAGGGCATAGTATGAGCCATTCTCATCAAATGTGTGTTCTTACCATAGGTAGATCTAAACAAATGCTTTAGAATTTTCAATGATGCAATACAGAGATGAAAATTACACGTGTATTGTGTGCCATTTAATGTATTTGTTTGGTGGTGCCCAATCAGATTGCTTGGTAAGCGGAGTACTTTCTCATCAGACAAGGTGAACAGGATATTTGGATTTATATATACAGAACTGAACTGCACAGTGATGTGGTCGTGACTTAGACTTTGTGACTTCTTACATTTTTCCCTTTACAGTGGATGGAGAGCGACTGATAATGAAGGGAGCCAACTTGACAACAATAGAAATGTTAACAGCATTGGGGTCCAGGTGTAGTGCAAAAGACGTCAAGGAAGAACCGAAAAGCAAGAAGAAGAGTTCCTGAAGAACAGAAAAACAACTGTGTTTGCATTTACATGTGTTAAAACCAGAAGGCCTGACTCCTGTGTGACAGAATTTGAAAGGGAAAGGTGGCCAAAACACTGACAAGTTTAACATGCAGCAGAACAAACGATTTAAATGTTCCCTGTCTTCACCTGAAGGAAGACATAGTGGATCAACAAATCTTCTAACACTAGTGAGTCAGGGGATTAAGGTGCATGAGTGGGTCTTTCTAAGCAGCTGCCTCTCAGTCATCTGCTTGGCGGACTAATTATCACATGTATTTGCATATAAATGTGAAGAATGCACATTAGCTATTAAATTAATACTACAGTGAAGACAGATCTCTTTGGACATGATTTCCTACAAAATTACTGTACAGTGGAATGCCAAATATGATTACAGTGGTTGCTATTTTTGAAAATGATTAAATACAAAGGTTTGAAGAAAACTTTGAAAGTATTTATCATTGACTTAGCTGAAGGACAGCAAGCTGCAAATGCAGAGTGGATTTTGTAGTACCGTGTTCATAATACACCTGTTGCTAAGTTCCTGCTGTTTTCTTCCTCCCGTTCAAGAAAGAGTGAAATTTGCTAAATGTAAATTTAGCTCAGCAATTAAGGTAACAAGGTAATGCGATGGTGAACACTCAGCAGAGCTACTTGTGCTGCATAAAAGTAGCCAAGTTTAGCTCAAAGGGAAAGGTAAGTAATTTTTTTTGATTCTTGGAGAAAAGGGCTATCTTTGAAGTTCAGTTTTGAAATGTTTTGTCACTTGCTTTTGGGAGATTTCATTAAATATTTCATAAAGATCAAAGGGAGAACTTTATTTGGTGTTTATAGCCCCATGTCCAACCCTATTATTTATTAAAGTAAGTGCTTAGGTGTCTTATTTGTATTGCAAATCTTTGTGGGTCTGGGAGGGGTGATCTTTCCTTAGGCTGTGCAGCTGAAGGTGTCAACTGCATATGTATTTCATGTGCATCAGTTTTGTTCTAGTTCAATTAATAATGAAAATGTAATTAAAGTTCCAGTTTTGAGAATTGCAGGTGCAGTTCTGTTGAGAGGCATTAGTTCTACATGTTGTTAACCAGATGATGCCTCACTTCTATAAATCATAGAATCACAGAACGGTTTGGGTTGGAAGGGACCTTAAAGATCATCTAGTTCCAACCCCCCTGCCATGGGCAGGGACACCTTCCACTAGACCAGGTTGCTCAAAGCCTCATCCAGCCTGGCCTTGAACACTTCCAGGGATGGGGCATCCACAGCTTCTCTGGGCAACCTGTTCCAGTGCCTCACCACCCTCTCTGTGAAGGACTTCTTCCTGATATCCAATCTAAACCTCCCCACTTTCAGTTTAAACCCATTACCCCTTGTCCTGTCACTACAGGCCCTTGTAAAAAGTCCCCCCCAGCTTCCTTGTAGCCCCTTCAGGTACTGGAAGGGGCTATAAGGTCTCCCCGGCGCCTTCTCTTCTCCAGGCTGAACAAGCCCAACTCCCTCAGCCTGTCCCCATAGCAGAGGTGCTTCAGCCCTCTGAGCATCTCTGGGGCCCGATCATATATTCATATGCTCAAAAGCCCCCTTACTGAAAATATACCAATGATTTTTGTGATACTTATTTTTTAGTTTCTTCTTCAGCAGTTTGTACAGTGATATTAGTGTGTAAAACTTGTGTTTAAATGTGGAGCACTTAAATCCATCTTAAAAAATTAGCCCAGGATTGGGGTTTATGTTTATGAAAAGGGAGAAAAAAACTAAGGCCCTAGTTCAGGGTTTTTGTAACCAATATACATCCTCTCTGCTGTTGAAGAAAGGTAATGTTTTCTTTCTCTTTGCTCACCTGGATAGACATCCTGCTCTGCAGAGACATGCTCTTACTAGTTGCTTTCATTTTAACCCAGAGATGCCCGGCCTTTCTGCTTGGGTTAGGCTAAAGGCGTGTTAGGCCGAAGGCCTGTTAGGCTGCTGCTGAGAGATGACTGACAGCTCTGTGGGATGAGGTGTTAGCTGATGCTGTTGTAGCTGCAATTTGCAGTGGTAAAGCTCCAGTGTGTTTTGTGCATGCAAAAGAAGTAATGAGTAGGATTTGAATATGTAAGGTTTAAAGGAAAACATACAGAACGAATAGAGCTGAAATTGTGCATTCTCGAGAGCAGAGGATATTGAAGAGATACAAACAAGCAGTCTGGGAAGGGAGGTGCTCCTCTGGTGATTATGTAATATGTAGGAAATTGCTCTCTGTGTACCATGTAGGTAAAGGTACAAATTTATTTTTCAAGTATGTTAGGGATAATTTTTAATGAATTTCTTCTCTAAGCACTCGGATAACGTCACAGCAAGCTGTTCATACAGTATCAATTGCTGGTTGACTGAAACAAAGCAGAGCGACCTGCAGCTCTGACATCTTTCTGACATGCACAGGCTAGGGCTGTGGATGTGGAGGGGTATTAAGGTCAGTCATGCAGAACAAAGCAGGGCTGGGTGAGCACTGGCTTTGCATGATATTATTGTACCACACCAAAAATGTGGGCGCTGTCTTAAATATAAAAGGAACTGGAATAGGCCCTAAAAACACTAAATACAGACATCATGTACATGTAGGGTGTCTGAGAGCAGGTGATGACATAAAAATGTCTAGATATCTAATACCTGGAGATTTAGAACAATTATTAGAGTCATGTTAGACCTGTTTATTGTACAAATACCTGTTTATTTAGAAGTTCTTATCAATGCACGGGGAAGATAGTCCTGAAACAGAAGAATATGCCAACCAGATAACACTAGCTGGTCAAAATACTCCCATCTTAAACATCTGCAACATTGCTTCTAGAAAAAGATAATGGTGTCTTTAATAAAGGTTTCAGCCAGGAGCAGCAGTGTTAGTGAACGTTTCCACAGCAAGTTTTACCTGCTAGCTGGTCCAAATAAGTACAAAATTGCCATGTCCTGGTGCCTTTCTTGCAGGGTAAAAACAAGTAGGAACATGCTGTGAGAGGTAGTTCATGCATGCCAATGTGAATTCTGTGATTCCATGAAATTCTCTTCTTTGTTATTTGCGGGGATCTCAATTTTGTGCTGCATATTGTAGGAAAAACTGGGTGCAGTACAGTATTGTTGTGCAAACCCTGCTTGAGGAGTGGAAGAGGCTTTAGATCTCAATTATTTCAAAAGTGTTGCAATCTAACACGTTTTTGCTGTTTGTGAGCGTGCAAAAGGCGCCATCTGCTAATTTCAGAGAACTGCCCTCAATAAATACCCTGTTGGATGTGGAAGAACGCATTTGTTTTGGCTGGCTTTTCCTCGTTTGTCACCTCTACGATGTATGAATTTTCAATGACTAAGGAGTTTATCTGGTGTAAGGAAGCCAAGAAAAAGAATTGGTTTAAATATTCTTGGATGGTATGTAACAGTTCTCAAGACTTCTACTCCCAAATGAACCTTCTGCCCGGGTACTCTCCCTGTACACACCCTCTGCAGTTCAAGAATCGCTGGCTTACTGCCCACCTCATCAGTTCCACGTGCAAACCAGTTTCCCTGGATGTTGGGCCCTGCTTCTCCAATGGATGATTTGGAGCCACCTTCAGTGGTGCCTCACTCAGCTGCACTTCTCTCCCCCCCCTCCTCCTCCTCCTGGCATAATAGCCTTTTTCTTCCTGGTACTGTTTGATGTCACCCATCTCACCTCTTCCCTCTGGAAGGCCTGAGTCACTCTTCTGAGCCTTTTTTGTCATCTGCCAAGTGCTTGCAGTAGCTTCAAGCAGCCAAGGTGCTTTGCTCCTGGTAGACCACTGCTTTTCTTGCAGCTCAACCTCGCCCTGTATGCTGAGGAATGTTGGGACAGAGCAGCGCGAACAGTTCGAGGTGCTACTTTGCTTCTGATCGTCTTTAACTTGACAACAAACTGCCTTTATGTTGAGCTTCTCAAGATTTTACAAAATTAAGGCTGTGCCCAGTGATGGAGGTTTGAGGTGTGAGGGCAGAGGAGTTGCCAGCCTGTTTTGGTCATGTCCGGTTAAGAGTCAAAGGACTACCTGAAAGCAGAGTTAAAGCGAGCGCGGCGATGGACTCTGCTCGACTTAAAGCGATCCCCTACATCCTGGCAGTGTTGCCAGCAGGGGTTAACAGCATATAGAGAGGAGATCTCTGCATTGTGCCTCGTGGGATGAGTCAAGTTTGACTCGCGTATGTATGAAAATAACATTTAAGTCAAAATAACTGGAAAAGTGGATGTGTTTGTGAAGGGAATGCTGGAGGAAAGCTTGGGAAAGATGAGTCCTTCATGGACAGGTTTTCACAACTCAGGCTGGCAATCCCTGCAGGAAGTTCAGAGGATGGGCAGGAGGCAAAGCGACAGGTTCCTGCCCTACCCAGGCACTACTTCTCTGTTTTGACCCCTCCACCCTCGTTCAGCAAGCAAAGAGCAGCCTTGCTGTAAAAACAACATGGTCAGCATGCAAAGCCAGCCCGTTTGTCCTCTTAAATACAGTTCTCGCACAGATCCACTAAATTGTCTTTTCATTACTGGTGAATCGGAGTGGTTCAAATCACTTGCACGAATTAAAGAATAATCATTTTCATCGAGTTTTTAAAGTCTTTTTCTATGTGGGGCTTTACAGAACCTGTCTTCAAAATCCACTTCTTGAATTTCCAAGTGTTTACTGGAAATGGCAAATTTAAGAATCAGATGATTAATTCTTTCTTCCTTTCATTCACGTGGCTGGGTCAGTGTCAAGTTAAGCTGCGCATAGAAGTAGTGCCGGAGTCAGTAGCAGAAACTGTCTTGTGGCAGAAGCATGTGAAAAAATCAGGAAACTGCAATATGATTTCTTGCCTCCTGATAGCTTTTCTCTTGCCCAGATGTCAGATATGTAAGATCGTATCTTGACAAGGAATGAAGGACGTAAACCCAAACGCCATGAGGCTTTTCAAGTCTAGAAGAGCAAACTGGAGAGTACCTGCCAGACCTGCCTGGTTGCCTGAGGTGCCAGAGGCAACAATT